TGAAATAGCATTGGCAAATATGTTCTCCCATGCAGTGGGCTTTTTTTGTTGTTTTGTTGATGGTTTCTTTTGCTGTACAGAAGCTTTTTATTTTGATGTAGTCCCATTTGTTTATTTTCTCCTTAGTCTCCATTGCACTGGGAGCTATGTCTGTAAAGATATTGCTACAACATATGTCTGCTATTTTGCTGTCTATGGAGTCTTGTAGGATTTTTATGGTTTCCCAACTTATATTCAAGTCCTTTAGCCATTTTGAGTTTATTTTTTGTGTATGGTGTACATTGGTGATCTAGTTTCATTTTTTTTTGCATGTATCTGTCCAAATTTCCCAGCACCATTTATTAAAGAGACCGTTTTGACTCCATTCTATGCTCTTGCCTCCTTTGTCAAATATTAATTGAGCATAATGGCTTGGGTCAATTTCTTGGTTCTCTGTTTGGTTCCATTGGTCTATATGTCTGTTCTTGTGCCAGTACCAGGCAGTTTTGAGAACTGTGGCTTTGTAATATAGATTGATATCTGGTGATGTGATCTCTCCAACTTTGTTCTTCTTTTTCAGAATTGCTGTGGCTATTCGGGGTCTTTTTATTCCAGATAAATTTTTGGAGAGTTTGTTTTAGATCTTTGAAATATGCCATTGGTATTTTAATGGAGATTACATTGAATCTGTAGATTGCTTTGGGTAGTATGGACATTTTAATGATGTTGATTCTACCAATCCATGAACATGCTAAGTTCTTCCATTTGTTTATGTCTTCCTCTATCTCTTTTTTCAATGTCATGTAGTTTTCTGAGTACAGGTCTTTTACTTCCTTAGTTAAGTTTATTCCTAGGTATCTTAATTTTTTTGGTTCAATGGTAAATGGGATTTTTTTGTTTCTCTTTCCGTGAGGTCATTATTGGTGTATAAAAAAGCCATAGATTTCTGGGTGGTAACTTTGTATCCTGCTACATTGCCAAATTCATTTATTAAGTCTAGTAGTTTCTTGATGGAGTCTTTGGGGTTTTCTATGTATAGTAGCATGTCATCTGTGATTTAAGGACAGTTTTACATCTTCTTTTCCAATTTGGATGTCCTTTTTATTTCTTCTTCTTGTCTGATGACTATGGCTAGCACTTCCAGTACTATATTGAACAGGAGTGGTGAAAGTGGGCCTCGCTGCCTTGTTCCTGTTCTTAGGGGAAATGAGTTTAGTTGTTGCCTATTGAGTATGATGTTGGCTTGTAGGTTTGTCATATAAGGCTTTTATTATGTTGAGGTATGATCCCTCTATTCCCATTTTTCTAAGGGTTTTTATCAAGAAAGGATGTTGGATTTTGTCAAATGCTATTTCTGCATCAATTGATATGACTATGTGATTTTTATCTCTCAATTTGTTTATGTGATGTATTACATTTATTGATTTTGCAGATATTGTACCATCCTTGCATTCCTGGAATAAATCCCACTTGGTCATGGTGTATGATCTTTCTAATGTAATGCTGAATCCTATTTGCTAGAATTTTGTTGAGATTTTAGCATCTATGTTTATCAAGGATATTGGTCTGTAGTTCTCTTTTTTGTGATGTATTTATCTGGTTTTGGGATTAGGGTAATGCTGGCTGCATAGAAAGAACTTGGAAGTGTACCTTCCTATTGAATTTTTTGGAATAATCTGAGGAGGATAGGTTTTAGTTCTTCTTTGAATGCTTGGTAGAACTCCCCTGTAAAGCCGTTCTGACCAGGGCTTTTGTTTGCTGGAAGATTTTTTATCGCTGCTTCAATTTATTTGGTAGTTATTAGCCTATTCAGGTTTTTTTATTCTTCTTGATTGAGTTTTGGAAGCTTGCATTTTTCTAACAATATGTCCATTTTGTCTAGGTTGTCCATTTTTTGGAATAGAGCTGTTCATAGTATTTTTTCATTTGTATTTCTGTGGGATTTGTTATTACTTCACCTCATTCATTTCTGATTTTGCTTATTTGGGTTCTCTCTCTTTGCTTCTTGGTGATCCTGGCTAGAGGTTCATCAATCTTGTTTATCCTTTCAAAGAACCAGCTCTTGGTTTTGTTGATCTTTTGTATTGTTGTGTTTTTTTTGGACTCTATATCGTTTATCTCTGCTTTGATCTTTATAATTTCCTTCCTTCTACTTATGCTGGGCTTTTCTTGTTGCTCTCTTTCTAACTCTTTGAGTTGTAGGGTTAGATAATTTATTACTATTTTTTTCTTGTTTTTTGAGATAGGCCTGTAGAGCTATGATCTTCCCTCTCAAGATTGCTTTCACTGTGTGTCCCATAGATTTTTGATTGTTGTGTTTTCATTGCCATTTGTTGCAAGGACGCTTTTTATTTCCTCTTTGATCTAGTTGGCAACCCAATCATTGTTTAATAGCATGCTATTTAGCATCCAGGTGTTTGATTTTATTTGTTTTTATTGTAGTTGATTTCTAGTTTTATGCCATTGTAATCTGAGAAGATGCTTGATCTAGTGAGTCATTTAGGATTGATGTTTCTTTGCTGATTTTTTGTTTAGAGGATTTGTCCAGTGGTGTTAGTGGGACACTAAAGTCCCCTACTATTATTGTATTATTGTCAACCTCTCCCTTGATATCCTTCAGGAGATTTTTTTAAGCATTTTGTTGCTCCTGTATTGGGTGCATATATGTTTACCAGAGTTATATCTTCTTGTTGAATTGCTCACTTTAGTATTATGAAGTGGCCTTCCTTAACTCTTTTTATGGCCTTCATTTTGAGATCTAATTTGTCAGATATAAGTATTGCTACCCCAACTTTTTTTTGCATTTTCATTTGCCTGAAAACCCTTTTTCCACCCTTTCACCATCAGTCTGTGTGAATCCTTTGTTCTGAGATGGGTGTCCTCTAGACAGTTATATGGATCATGTTTTCTTATCCACTCAGCTACCCTATGTCTTTTGATTGGGGCATTTACTCCATTTACATTTAAAGTTATTATTGACAGGTACTTGTTTGTCACCATTTTTATTCTTTACTCCTGTGTTCCTTCTTCCCTTCCTATTTCTTCTTTTTACAGAAGACCCTTTAGCATTTATTGCATTGTAGGTTTGGTTGTAATAAACTCCATTAGTCCTTTTTTATCTGTGGAGCTCCTGATTTCACCCTTAATTTTGATTGATAGCCTTGCTGGGTACAGTATTCTTGGATTCAGACCCTCCTTTGCAGGAGTTTGTATATTTCATTCCATTCCCTTCTGGCCTGTGTTTCTGTTGAGCAATCAGTTGCTAGTCTGATGAGGGATCCTTTGTAGGTAACTTTCTGTCTCTCTCTCTGGCAGTCTTTAAGATTTTTACTTTGTCATTAGTGTTTGCCAATTTAATTATAATGTGTCTTGGTGTCGGTCTTTTGGAGTTCATCTTGTTTGGGACTCTGTGAGTTTCTCGGACTTGTGTGAGTTTTTTCTTCCTTATATCAGAGATGTTTTCTGTCATTATTTCTTCAAACAGGTTTTCTAGTCCTTGCTCAGTTTCCTCTCCTTCTGGCATCCCTATTATGCAGATGTTGTTTCATTTCATGTTGTTCCAAAGTTCCCTTACGCTCTCCTCCTATTTTTTAAAGTTTTTTTCTAGATGCTGCTCTGCTTGGGTATTTTTTCCTACCTTGTCTTCTTGCTCACTGATGCAGTCCTCTACTTCTTCTAGTCTACTGTTGATGCTTTCTATTGAGTTCTTTATTGCATCTATGTCATTTTTTTCATTTCTTCTTGGTTCTTCTTAATTTCCTCTTGGTTCTTACACATATTGTTGAATTTGTCTTCCATCCCTTTCAGTGACCTTATGACCATTGCTCTGAATTCCTTTTCTGACATAGTGCTGGCCTCCATTTCATTTACTTCCTCTTCTGGTGATGTTTTTCTTCTTCTTTTTTTTTTGTATGCGGGTTGTTTCTTTGTCTCCCCCTGATAGCTCATCTCTGGGTGTCTGGTTATGTAGCTCTCTCTCTCCTTTCTCTAGGCGATATCTGACCTTTCCATCCATGGTTTGCCTCAACAGCTGTGTTTAATTCACCAATTCCAGTTGGATGTTATTCGATTTGGCTGTTCTTTCTATCTGCTCTGTGAGAAGTTAAAGGGCTCATCCACATATTTGCACCACTTTGTCTGCCTCTTGACAGGCTTTTTAGGTGCCCTCAGTTGGGGATGATGTAGTCCAGGTGTTCATGGGTTCGTAGCTGAGGCAACTGGTCCCTGGGCATTGTGGTTGTAGGGTCCCGCGAGGTATCCAAGGTCTCCCCAGTTGAAAGTAAAGCTGGGCTTCAGATCACAGCCACTCTCCCCTTCAAGATGGTGTGGTCTCTGTGGCAGAGATGGCTGATCTGGGAGAGATTTCAGCAACAGTAGAGGCTGCCCAGCCAGGGGAACCCAGTCCGACAGTCCCCAACAGTCCTTTGGAATATAGCTGTCTCTCACTCACAAATACATATACTCCCCGGAAGTCCATACACTTTCCTTTTGTTCTCTCACTCACACACTATCTTGCAGCCTGCCATCTCATTGGCAGCCATCTTGGATCTCTGCTGTGTCTCTTTTGTATGAATGGCTCAGCCTTCAGAATTTCCTAAAATCTCTCATGCAAGTAGCAGCTGGACTCAGTGTGTCCCATACCTCTGATAAGTGGGCCCAGGCCCGGCACCAGCAGCAGCTTGCCAAGATTCACAGCTTGGTCTCTCCTGGGAAACTCTAAGCCTAACACAAGTAGCAGCCATCTGCAGATGACTCTGTAGCTCATGCTTGGTGGCCCCAAGTATCCTAATAAAAAGAAAAAGAGAGTGTGGGCATTTCACTATTGCTCCACCTAAAAGAAATAATAAACCATCCCACTAAGTAAATCCAAATTTAGACATATAAGAATCTGGGAGAGAATATCCAATACACATATCACACATACACACAGCAGGAATTATGTGAAATTGAAATGACTATTCAAGGATGCCATTTTCCACCTACTGTCTCACTGATGGCTTGATTGCATTTTTTTCCTGCAGCTACCTGCTCCCTGATGATAAAAAAGTCACCAAGCACAAAACTCTGGTAATAAAAAGGAGTGTTAACCCTCAGTGGAATCATACTTTCATGTTCTGTGGCCTGCATCCCCAGGATATAAAGAATGTTTGCCTAGAACTTACCATCTGGGACAAGGAGGCCTTTTCTAGCAACATCTTTCTGGGAGGAGTTCGTTTGAATTCTGGAAGTGGTGAGGGACTCGGGGACCCTGATTTGGTCTGTGACTCTGCATGGGGTTTGGGAGTGGTTCCTGAAGGTGTGATATGTAGTAGGTATATATGTAATTTCAGCATAGCTGACTCCTTAATTTCCACAGATGTCCCATGCCTTTAACCAATGATCTGTTCATTTTTAAAATAAATGTACTACTTCACAACTTTACCGATATATCCTTCAACTAGAAGTTTGGGATGCATAATTTTTATTTTCATTCTTTTCACAAAGTATAATTTACACTTTAGTCTAAGTGAATTTCAACTGCTTTTTTGGGCCTTACTTCAGGTTTTTCCCAGGAGAGGATCACCAGACAACACAGACTCTGATAGGAGAGAGGATGTCCAAGACCAACTTTATTTCGTCCTCTTCTCATCCCTGTCCATAATTTGCAGCCATTACTCACACTAGTTAAAACAAATAATTTTCCCTGAAAACTAACATCTGATGTTTTGCAAACAGACCATGGAAACACACCACAAGACACAAGTATAGGGGGAAAATTATAGTAGTGGAGCACATGCAGACCCCAAACTCAGTATTCTGTAGCTTGGTCCAGACATACGTGTTCTGCATGCACCATGGTCAACATTCCTGTTAAGAATAAACCCACCCCTCTGATGATCAACTTATTATAGATTAAGGAGAGCCTAGAACATCTATACCAGTAAAGTGAAGACTCCCCAGATCAAAGAACTTGAGTTGTTAGAAAGAAAGAGCACCAGAGCCTTGTTCAGCCTTTTATTCTGTCATGTAAACTCAATCCTGATGAACTAGCTCTCTGCAAACTACCAAAGTGGGGATGAAAGGAGCTACGAGTACCCTTTTGATTGTTTCTCATCATCTATGCAAAAGAGAGTAGTGCAGGCTGTAAAAGCTATATTTCACTCAACACCACTCACTAGATGTGGTTAGTGAGAACAAGTCAGCGAAGGGCTCTGTGATCAAAAGGCCCCCTCAGAGGTTACTAGATATCTTCCAGAAGACCAAAACATTTAATATGTGAAGAGTAATATTTCTATTTTCCTTTTTAAGGTGTGAGCCATGGAAAGACTGTGGATTGGATGGACTCACAGGGAGAAGAACAACACCTTTGGCAGAAGATGGCCGACAATCCTGGGACTCCTGTAGAGGGTATACTCATGCTTCGTTCCAGCATGGGGAAGCGTCAGCTCTGAAGGTACCATTCTCCAAAATGAGACATCCTGAGACTGTTTGGCTGTCATTTCCTACCAGTAGCAGGCTTGGGTCCTGAACTTCTTCTTCCCTGGCATTTCTCACTTGAGGGCATTAGGACATGAGGGGAGAGATGTCAGTGTGATGAACATTTAGGGTCTTGCTGAAAGTCTAAAAAAGCATGTACCATTATATGTTCATGGCCCATGGACATCTTGATTGGATGATAGAAAGTGTGCCACATTGTTCTGTCAACAAGCAAATTGTGTAATGATTATAGGCTTTACACCATAAGGGAAATGGTTGGTGCAAGCTTATTTGACACTATAGTTCTCTTGAGAATCCCACACTTTTTCTAGTTATTAGTTACTTTAGGTTTCCTCAAATGGTTTGAGGGAAAATGGGGCCACTCAGAATGTAGATCACTTGAAGAGTAAGAAGAAGGAATACTGGCTACCCTTTCCTCATCCTGGGAATCCCCATGATTCAAAGAAGGTGTGTGGGGATGGTCGCTGAGGCCAGGGAGTTGCCTTGTTATTTTAGCAATTATGTGGCTCACCCAGGTAAGTTTTCAAGTTTTTCTGTCGTGACTATATAATTTATAATCTAAATAAACCCACCTTTGATAGTGAAGGAAGCTAAATTAATATACCAGAATGACATAGATAAACCAAGATTGACCTGGGGACATTTGGATATAGGGTCACCCTAGTTATGACCTACCTATTAGAGAGTTCTGTTGCAAACATATATTTTATAAAATGTTCTAAGCCATTATCTGAAAGGGAATAAGAAATAATGTACACTGTGAGCAATGTTTGCATCATGTCTATTGATACTCCATTGGTCAAAGGAAGTCACATGGCCCAGCCCAAAATCAAGAGGCAGGGAAATACATTCTGCTCATAATGAAACCTTGGCAAGATTGAGGATGCAGGAAGGAATGAAGAATCATGGTCAATAGTTCAATCTACCATACTTTCTGTCACCTGGATTTCCAGATGCTTAACCAACCAAACTTAGATGCAAAGGTTGTTAAAGCTGAAAGGTGCCTCAGACCTGATTCCACATTTTGCAGATTCCAAGTCTGAACCCAGAAAACTGAAATGACGTGCCCACAATCATATAGAAGCTGTGACTCCTGTAGAGGATTAGGACTTAAATCCAGCATGTAACTCCTAGGCCAGTGTTCTTTCCACTGAAGTCCTTGGCATGATCCTATGCTTATCATGGTGGACAGGAACACATAGATGAAGGAAGGTGGAGCAAATTTTGATTATTTAAGTATGAACATACTCCACCTAGTCTTTTTCTGGAGTCATATTTTAGCCCCTCAGCTTATTTTTTCATTTGAATTCATATAAAACCCCTAAGAAGATAGTAACTGATTTTTAATAGTAGGGAAACTAGAATCATCTTCTGGTTTATTCTAGCTCAATGTTCCATATTCTAAATTTTTTCTTGAATTTGGAAAACAGATTTAATAATATATTTAGTATTATTCTTAGTAAGAAAATAAGCAATCAATTTTAAATATTATTTAAAAATAGACTAATTCTAAAAAATTGAAGTTAGTGGTCTAGTGTAGCTTAGTACATATAGTATATTTAAAAAAAAAAAACTCGCACCTATATCCCTGAGAACAGAAAACAAAAAATTTAAAATCATCATCACTTTCTATATTGGAAAAATAGTCATCAGACTTGATGTGATTCATTCTGTCTTCAAAGGCATTTTTAAGGGAGGTGAAAGGGTGATGATGGTAAAGTCTGGAGACATCTCTAAAGTAGACAAATAAAGTGGATTTCTTCACTAATAATGAAAGTGGAAAAGTAATATAGTCCACAATTTATATCTTGAACTCAAGACAAGCATGAACATTTTGTTCAAATCTTTACCACATTTAGAGCAATTCACTGTATTTTATAAAAATCAACATCTAACTGAGCATTTCCATGATGCAAAACTCAGGTATGCATTAGAAATCTGTTGGTGTTGCTCTCAGAAATAAAAGATAAGTTAATCTTTAAGTCACACCTTTTTTTTTTTACTAAGTATGGTGTAGAAGTACAAATAACATTTTTAAATAATGATAATACATGTGAATGAAAACAAATTCAAATAATTCAAAATTGTGAAAAGTAAGTCGTCCTTTCTCCCCCTGCATATCAGAATATATTGACAGCCTCATTCTTTTTTTTGGCTATATGGTATTACATTATAGGGATACATCAGATTTATTTAACCAATCCTATCAAATGTCATTTTAAATATGGTTAGCTAAATTGTCTATGTTTGGTGGCTTTTCTAAGCAGTCTTTTCTTTTCAAAAATAAATACTTTGAAATTAAAAATGAGGGGTGTGTGTGTGTGTGTGTGTGTGTGTGTATGTGTGTGTGCACAAAATGTAGCAATTTCACTTTGGGTTAGTTATCCTACAGAGATAGATACATATGTGAGAAATTAATATGCATAGGGAATTTATTGCAAAAGACTGGAAGCAACTCCAAAGCCTTTTGTCATACATGTGCCTAATTTTTGTTTTATTAGTTACTCCCTCTCCTTGTCTCTTAAAAATTGTTAAATGTTAAACATTCGATTCTTTGCTGCTTGTTCTTTCTTTTCTCATCACTTTCTGTACCCTTTCAGGCATTATTATGTATTGTGCTCTCATGGTTTGATGACCATTTGTATGCTTATGACTTCAAACTCACTTCTCCAATCCAGATCTTTTCTCTCAGACCCAGACCCAGATCCAAGATCCAACTGCATCTATGGCATCTCCACCGAGATAACTTATGTTTTCAACATATTCAAAACTGAACACTCTACCCTCTCCCTTGCACCCAGGTTTTTCTGCTCCAGTACATCCTGACTCAGAACCTGGTAAAATCATCCACTCAGTTATATTAACTTGGCACTGGGCAGTGATCTTTAATTTATGCCTTGCCATGAGGCAAACTCAATCAGGAAACCATATTGATTCTACTTCCTAAATATCTCAAAATCTTGTCCAGTTCTTGCCATCTCTACGCCAGCACACTAGTCCAAGCCACCATTTCCCTTTTCTATGATCATTAAAAGTCTCCTAGCTGCTATCTATGTAGCCACTCTTATTCTCCAGCAATCCATTCTTCATACTGTAGCCAGATTTTCCCAACATGTTATTTTTAAAATGTTTAAACATGCAGAAAAGTTGAAATGATTTTACAGTAAACATTCTTATACCTACCAGCTAAATTCAGCTACTACCATTAATTGTATTTGCTTATCATTATCTATCTGTCCATCCACTGAGTGTTCTATTAAAAATGCAAATTTGATCATGCTTAAAACGCCTTCATGAATTTTCATTACCCTGAGAATAAAATCCAAATTCTTGCCCATGGCCTGCCAGTCCATACATATGATGGTTGCTGCTTTCTCTCCAACTTGTCCCAAGCCATGCCTCCCTCCCCTTCCCTTTAGTCACACAGTGCACTTTTCTGCTTCTCAAATGTGGCAGGCTCTATCCCATCTCATGGCCTTTGCAAAGAATCTTCTTCTTTTTTTTGAATAAATAAAATCTACTTTATTGCTAAATAACTTCAGGTAAATGATGTCCTGTCTTCTAAGCCCATTAACTTCAGAAAGTTTAGTCATAGCACAAAAATGACAAATAGTGCTGACCACATCTTTGAACTTCCAGTGTGTAAATAACAGCATTATCCCAGCATTTTTTAGGTCAACGGAGTGAATTAAATTTACAAGAGATAAACATTTGCTTCATCGCTGAACTGTCATAATTCTGGATACCTTGACCTAGAAGATGAGGTAATAGAATGAGGAACTGAGCAGGGAGTAGATTATTTTTAAAGCCTTGCTCAAAGACATAGTCCTATTTTGGACTGACGATACGTGTAATGTGCATGGCTATTTCTTGCTGTAATGTGGTCTGATTGAGCATTTCTAGAGAGGGAACACTCAAATAACAGTAGAAGGGCCCAGTACATTTCAAATTGTTCTCATCATGGACATATCTGCCTTGTAGTGAGTCAAATTCTGCTTCCAGTAACTATACTCGCTGAACCTCATTCTTTCCTCTGAAGCTATTTCTAACTATTCATGTGTTTATTTTCACATGTGATGCTTACAGACTTGTTTAGTGAAAAAAAAAGATCTATTGGGATATTATTGAGATCATGACAAAATGATAAGGTTACTTTAGGCACAATATAGTTATAATGTACCTGTTCTCTTTTTTCTTAATTGTTTTATTGCTTTAAGTATTACAAAGAGTATTACATATGGCTCCTTTTTTCCTGCCCTTGGCAATCCCCTGGCCTCCCTTACCCCCAAGTGTCTTATGTCCATTGGTTATGCTTATATGCATGCATACAAGTCCTTCGGTTGATCTCTTACCCTCCCCTCCTGTCTCCCAACCCTCCCCGACGTTCCCGCTGTAGTTTGACAGTCTGTTCAAGGCTGCTCTGACTCTGTATCTATTTTTCTTCATAAGTTTATAATGGTCTTTACTATCCATAAATGAGTGAGATCATGTGGTATTTTTCCTTCATTGACTGGCTTATTTCACTTAGCATAATGCTCTCCAGTTCCATCCATGCCATTGCAAATGGTAAGAGTTCCTTCTTTTTTACAGCAGCATAGTATTCCATTGTGTAGATGTACCACAGTTTTCTAATCCATTCATCTACTGATGGGCACTTAAGCTGTTTCAAGATCTTAGCTATGGTGAATTGTGCTGCTATGAACATAGGGGTGCATATATCCTTTCTTATTGGTGTTTCTAGTTTTTTGGGATATATTCCTAGAAGTGGGATCACGGGGTCAAATGGGAGTTCCATTTTTAGTTTTTTGAGGAAACTCCATACTGTCTTCCATAGTGGCTGCACCAGTCTGCATTCCCACCAGCAGTGCATGAGTGTTCCTTTTTCTCCACATCCTCTCCAGCACTTGTCATTTGTTGATTTGTTGATGATAGCCATTCTGACAGGTGTGAGATG